CCCCACTGAGCGACTTTTCGGGTCGTTGCGATTTTTTTTTTGGACTCCCCCCCCCAAAAAAAAAGTGTCCGTCCTTACCCCCCCCCCCCCCCCCCCCCCCCCCCACTGAGCGACTTTTTTGGCCGGCGCGATTTTCAAATTTTCCTGAGTCGTTGCGAAATTTTGGACCCGATTTTAAAACCCCCCCCTTGAAAAAATCCTGCGTACGCCACTGCTATATACCCTTGGTAGATGAAAAAACGTGCTTAAAGTGCTTATGGCTTTCACAAACATTGTAATTGCTCGTTTTTTTCGAAACGAAAGATTATGTATGACATTTAAACATTATTTTATTTACTTCACTTCGAACAGTTGAATATAATGAAATGATTTTTTTTCTTCTAATTTCCTGTTCTGAATTGAGAATTTAAGATTTTTTTTCATATTCTATTAACAATTGGATTTAAGCGAATGTATGTATGATAATTACAAGAGGGATGTAATAAACTTCATGCTTCTAAAAGAAAGTTTGATCCTGAATGATTCCATTCCCTGTTTTTATTATGCTCAAAATCAGTGGCGGGTCCAAAAGAATTCTCTGATGAATGAACGTTTCATAATAAAGGGGAACAAAATCACCAGCTTGTTCCCTAACCTATATGTGACAAGCAAACCCCTAACACGAAAGGATATCAGAAAGAAAGAAAAAATGATAAGTGCCCCCAGCTGCAGGTATGTAGATGTGAGTTGGTCTAGCAGAATAATAATGATGTAAAACAGAGAATAATGAAGAAAATAAATCCATCGACGCACTGACTGAGAATGTTGAATTTCGATAGAATTTGTTTTAAAGCGGGCGTCATGAGCCCTCAACAGAGGCGGATACCAGCACTCTACAAAAAGAAATCATGATCATAAGCGATATCAGCATCATCATTATCACCATCGTTATTATCATCATCACCATAACCTTCACTACCATAATCGTAATCAATATCTTCATCACCATTATCATATCCTGATAGTACTGATCTATAAGCACCAAGAGAACATTGATAGAGACAAAACACAAATAAGAGAAATAATAGATAGCAAGGTCATTATATATCATTCTTTATGTATTTTTTATAGAAATAAAAATATCCTTACGCAAATAAAGGTAATAGCTATTATTACCAGAACAGTACCATTGGTAAACGAACTATAAAAGCATATAATCACATACTCAAGATGAATAATGCGATGATTTTTATGAAACCGAAAGTTCTCAAAAATCCTACATTTTGATGTTTAGTATACCTATAGCTTATTTTGGAACAATCCAACATAGAGATTACAGCCACTATATAGTCTAGACGAAATCCGCTAAATTTGAACAAAAATATAAAGCTAGAACTATTTTGTCATATTTACAATGATGACCGAGATATACAACCCATTCTAAGATATTTGTTTAATGACAAATTAAACAACCTTCATAACAGTTACGGATATTCAGAATTTGAGACAACGTAGAAATAGTGAATAACGGTACCTTCATTTATGAAAGAGAGAAACATTTAAGAAGCTGAGGCAAAAGTCGCTTTAGTAAACCATTTCTTTCTTTCTTTTTTAACTTTAAATCCAAATTTCCTGAGAAATTTTGAAAACCGTGCCTAAAACAAAAACAAAAAAAACAAATGAATAAATAGAAATACTAAAATAATTATAGAAGGAATAAAGTAGAGTAGGCCTATTGCACTTTTAAAAGTTAATGATATAATTTTACAATCACATTAGTTGGTTTTAAAAAGAAAGAAAGAAAGTACGCAGTGGTTAGGGGAAATAAATAAATGCCCTAAAGGTTGCAGGTAAATGCAAAGGTATATGTAAAGAAAGACGGCATTGCTTTTTGAACAAATGTAATGATGTACTTGACTGAACAGAAAGTGGAGTTTTGTTATACAACAGCCTACAGTATATTCAGTGAGTGCCTGTGGGACAAACAAATGACTGTTAACCGCGTACCGTGTTATATCAAAGACTGGTCGTCGAGTAACGAGACGGTTTATGGAGCTCTCACACTCTGCCGTGTAGGCCTACCGTCCACCTGCCGGGCTATTAAAAAAAAAAACATAGTCCAGAACGTTGGGTTTTGAGCGGACTTGTCCCCGGCCGCAAAAAAAAATTCATAAAATTAATCTTTTCACCGTTTCGTTGCCATCTTCTGACCGTTCTCACCGGGCGCATACCGGGTGTTGAACGTGCTTCTACCATCTTCACACCGCCCAGATTGACTTTTGTTGAAAATTTTGGCCTTTTCCATACCGGGCCCATACCGGGTCTCGAACGTGTGCACCGGGTTTGTAGCAGCCACCTACCAGTCACTTAGCGTCCCCTCACCGCTCGGAGCGTCCTATGAGCGAGTCCCCGGACTGCTGACGTCATGACACGACTGCCATAAATACCCCGATTTGAACGGCAACGGTCAGTCCGCTCTCCATTTTTCATCACCGTTCTGTAACGGGTTATGAGCGTGTTGTGAACGTGTTCATACAGTGTGACCGTTTTCATAACGTATTCATACCGTCCTCATACCGTTCAACACCGTCCTCTTGCCGCTTACTTGCGGCCGGTGCCAGCCGGCCAAAGTTTTGAACATGCCCAAACTTTCGCCGGGTCCCACCGGGTGTAAATAAGCGCCAACGCCCTATTAACGTGTTGCCCGCTTTGATAACGAACCACCGTGTGCCCTCGCCGTTCTCCACCGTCCGCAGACATTTTCGCGCACGGTGGCACACGGTAGGCCTACACGGCAGAGTGTGAGAGTCACTTTAAATAGTTTGGAGCTTGTTTATGCAAAATTAAAAAAACTGGAACGCAAAATTGATATTTTACCCTTACTTCCTTGCATAGCATTTTAGGAATGCTGTAAAATCGACAGACAGAATTTAACGAATCTACATTAAAAATCATTCGAATGTATTTACTTTGAATTCTTTGTAATCTAATGAGATTAGTTTTCAGTAGATTCCCCAAAAAGTATAAAAATAATCAATGTGTGCCAAAAAGAGTAAGAAATAAAGACTGATAATTGTTAAATAAGTTAAACAAGGTTTAATTCTCCGGATAATCCCAATTATACACGAGATATTTTACAAAATACACTACTGACATGTTTATACCAATTTAAACATGGATCCAAAATAACTCCTAAATATTTAAATTCTTCAACAAAGTCAATTTCTATGCCATTAAATTCAATTTCCAGTTTACGTTTTCGTATTTTTTCTTTTCTTTTTAATTTTAAGATCATTAACATTTTCTAGTTTTACAGAATAATACGTTATCATCAGCATACAATGAAATGTTAACATTATCAGACAATAATCAATACTGCACAAATAATTAATGTATATACAGATATATTCCATACGAATTTGAAAGAACTATGGCATTCCAAGACCATGGTGCTGTTTTCATGATTTTCTTTTCGCAGCCGAATCTCATCAAACTGGGTTTCACAGGGCGAACATTTTGTTGAACTTCAAATTTGACAAAAAGCTAAGGCATTCTAAGACTAATATTGTCTTCACGATTTAATCGAAAATCATAATGGCCTTCCAAAAATGAAATATCTGAGGCATGCCAAGACTATTTCCCTCATTTTATCTGACAATCCAACATAAAAAACGGGCTTTAAAGAACGACGGCCATGTCGGACATCAAGCCCTCTGTTTCGACCTCGACTGACTTATCTCTTCCGGCAATTCTTGCCCTTTCATATTCGCATCTTTCGCAGTTGGCACTATCATGTCGTTTACGAGGTCCGCCGCCAACAATGACAGTCCTGTCATTTGACCAATTTCGGAAGTGCTTCTCCCTGTCATTATAATGATGAAAAAGATCAGAATTAGGTGATTTTGTGATGGTAAAAACAAAACAAAACAACAAAAGTTTATCATTATTATTATTATTAATATTTGTATTATGCTTTTCTTGTACCGTCATTTACGTATCTTCTGTATACACTGATGTCGAATACCACGTATGGGGCGAGTCATAATAGGGATCACCTTGTTTGGAGTGAAAATCCACGCAAATATGATTTGACTCCACTCTCAAAAGAGTAATAAAACAGGTACACCTTCATGTTTATGCTCGTATATTATTAAATACTTATTACCACCTGTATAAAAACACTACCTGTCTATGTAACGACCACATTTTTGCTTCCCTTCATTCGATGCTGCTCATTGAAAGTGTTGC